TAAATTTACTGAGACAATCTATTGTTTAACGCGGTTACGATACGCAACTTTACAGCCGAAAGATAGAAAGAATTTTTTTCTCTGTGACCACCTTTTTGATCTTTTTATAAGGAAAATACTTCACACGCGTGCCAGTACCTGCTAACATCTTGAAAAAAATCTTCAAAGTTAGAGTGAATTCGTATTTGCATAGGTATGCCAAAGCTCTTCAATATCGAAGAGAAAGAGGAGAATGAAGAGCCTCCACCTGAACTGGAACAAATGGTACAAAAGCAGGTACGTCAATTTTCCTGTACGATACTGCTTTCCTTTTTTGGATAGCTTGTACTACAATTTATTTCAGATAGAGGCGGAAGAAGCGAATGAAATTCCTATAATTATGTGCCACGAGGTGGAATGTCAAACGGAGACAGTGGAAACGTAGGCTCTGGACTATAATTAATCATAGAATTTTCCATATTATATTTATTGCAGTTCGGACAAAATCGAGCAAACCATCGAAAAAGTGCTGGAAGATGAAAGCTGCCAAGCTGAAGAACAGAAAGTTTACGGCCAAGAAATGGAGACCCAAACAGAATCCGTTGAAGGATATAATGCAGAAGCGCAGACGATTATTATAGAGACAGCTGATGAGGAAGTGCTAACCACAGTGTCACCGACGACGGTACAGATGTGATGTTTTTGTATCCGTTGCAAATTTCTTAGTTGAGGCTTCTACTCAGGATTCTCCCTGCCAAACTGAATCCTCGCCAACCATGGACCAAATATCGCAAACTACTCAAGCAGAACAGGTCGATGTTGATACGAACACCGAGTTGGAGACAAAGAATGCTCGCATACAGACTCCATCTCCGAAAATTGAAATGAAAACCATTCAAACAGAAGATTTAGTGAGTATTCGAGTGAGGAAAAAATGTTTCGAAAATTGTTTGTTTTATGAGGAACGAAAATCACCGTCAAAAATGTCGTCAGCAAAGAAGCGAATTCGACGCGCTTTTGCAAAGTCAAAGCCAGCCAAATCTGTCGTGACGGATACTCCTTCTATGAGCGAATGGAAGGTTCGAAAATTTAGGAGCCCGGCTTGATCAATTTTGTGAGGTAATAGATTATGATTTGAGGAAATAAGCGATGAAGAAAATGTAGAAGAGGAAGAAGACGTTTCAGAAGAATCGCTGCATTGGAATCCCGTGAGATTTCCTAGTTCAGAATTGCCATCCCTGATTTGATTAGTTTACGAATATTTATGTTTTTACTCAGGTTGATGGTCTACATGCAGAAAAACAATTGCCAGTAGCGAAACTGGCCCAGATGTTCGATCGACAAATCACACCAGAAAGAGGGAAAAGGCAGTAAACTTGATACCACAAATAGCTTAGAAAAGCTTTGCTTATTCGCTTCATTTCGTGTGCATGCTAGCATGGCTTTGCAAATTTTTTTTGCCTAGACGAGCTTAGAGTAGAGAGTTGTCTTCTCAAAACCTACTCAATAAAATTTTAGCAAGCGGAAATCGCTGTCATCGTTCAGAAATCAAAGGCACTCGCGGACGCGAAACAGCTCACACTGAAAATTCACTCATGCTTCTTACGGCGATTACCGTTCCGACTGTACTTACTGCTCATCATTTCTTTCATCTTGTCAGTTTTTCATGTGATTCAA